CCATCAGAATTGCAGCTGACTTATCAATGCAAACTATGAAAGCCAGAAGAGCCTGGACCAAGGTATTTCCAGTTCTACACGACAATAGATGCCAGCCCAAAATACTTTACCCAGAAAAAATGTCTATTATAGTTGAGGGGGAAAGAAAAGTATTCCATGACATGAACATCCTGAAAGAATACATGTCCACAAAATCAGCCCTTCAAAGAATACTTGAACTGATACAGAGCATGGAGAACCAACTATACCCCAGGGGCAATGAAAGAAAACATAAAAAGGTATAATCAAGGAAACACAAAATTAGAGAACACAAACAGCAATCAAAATTATGACAACCAATACACATCTTTCAATAATAACCTTAAATATCAATGGACTGAACTCTCCAGTCAAAAGACACAGGCTAAGCAAATGGATTAAGAAACAAAATCCATCTCTTTGCTGTCTGCAAGAAGCCCATCTCACCTTCAAGGACAGGCACTACCTTAAGGTAAAAGGACGGAAAAGAATATTCCAAGCAAATAGCACTAAGAAACAAGAAAGGGTTGACTGTGTCCTAAGCAGCCTGTTTCCTCCAAGGGGCAAAGCCTGCTGTAGAGAATTGACTGTGGAGAGGGAGCCACATAGGGAGGGGCTTTCTGTGCCATCTTGGACAGGAGCCAGGAAGGCACCTGAGAGTGGAATGCCCTGGTATTCACCGACCTGGGGTGAGACTGCAGGCTCATGCTCTGGAATGGTGGGCTCTAAGCCATGGCCCAGAGCTGGGCACCAGGTATTCATTTCTTTGTGAGTCACCTACTCCCCCAATGGTATAAACTATAACAAATTCATATAAAGGTATGCTATATGGTTTGTCTAATAGCACAAGAGAACCCAGGAGAACTCAGGCAACAGGTTGCAATTCTAATATCTGACATAATAGACTTCGAAGTAAAACTAATCAGACGAGATAAGGAGGATCACGTCATTCTGATCAAAGGAACAGTTAACCAAGAAAATATTACAATCCTTAAAATATATGCACCAAACTCTGGTGCACCCAAATTCATAAAAACAACACTACAGGACTTTAAGACACAGGTTAACCCCACCTCAGTGATAGTAGGGGACTTCAGTAACCCACTGTCTCAACTGGACAAAGAATAGACAGGGAGATGTCTGAATTAAATGATACCATACATCAAACAGACCTTACAGATATCTTTCGAATAGTCCACCTCCACCCAAGCACCAAAGAATACACTTTCTACTCAGCACCTCATGAAACTTATTCAAAAATTGACTACATAACTAAGCCACAAAACAAACCTCAACAAATACAAAAAAAATTGAAATAATTCCATGCATTCTGTCAGACCACAATGCAATAAAGCTCAAAATCAACACTGGAAAAAGCCCTAGTCACGACACAAACTCGTAAAGGATAGAACAGATTATTCCAAGCAAACGGCACTAAGAAACAAGCGGGGGTTGCAATTCTAATATCTGACATAATAGACTTCGAAGTAAAACTAATCAGACGAGATAAGGAGGATCACGCACTTCATTCTGATCAAAGGAATAATTGACCAAAAAGATATTACAATCATGAGCATGTATTCACCAAGCTCTGGTGCACCCAACTTCATAAAATCAGCACTACAGGATTTTAAGACCCAGGTTAATCCCGTATCATTAATAGCTGGGAACTCCAATACCCCATTGTCTCCCTTAGAGAGGTCAACACGACAGAAAACTAACAGCAAGACATCTGAAATAACCAATACCATATATCAAATGGACTTAACAGAAAATTACAGAGTATTCCACCCAAGCACCAAAGGACATACTTTCTACTCAGCACCCCATGGAACCTTCTCCAAAATTGACCATATACTGGGGCACGAAACAAACCTCAACAAACACAAAAATATTGAAATAATTCCATGCATTCTATTGGACCACAAAGCAATAAAGCTCAAAATCAACACTGGAGGAAGCCCTAGTCACTACTTGGACTGGTGGCGATTGAACAACACACTCCTAAACAATAAGTGGGTCAAAGGAGAAATTAAGAAATAAAAGAATACATGGAATTCAATGAAAAGGACAATAAAACACAACACAACCTTTGGGACACTTTAAAAGCAGTCCTAAGAGGGAATTTTATAGCTCTAAGTGCCTACATTAAAAAATTACAAAGAGCCCAAATAAATGACCTAAGACTGCAACTCAAGACACTGGAAAGGCAAGAACAAATGAAACCCAAACCCAGCAGAAGTGAAGAAATAACAAAAATCAGAGCAGAAATTAATGAAGTAGAAACAAAGAAAACAATGCAAAGAATCAATAAATCTAAGACCTGGTTCTTTGAAAAGCTAAACAAGACAGACAGACCCTTAGCCCAGTTAACTAAAAGAAAGAGCAAATCCAAATCAATAAAATCAGAGATGAAAGGGGAAAAATCACAACAGACACCCAAAAGCTCTAGACCATTATAAGGGAAAAACCTATGTGCTACTAAATTTGAAATTAAAAAACCTATGTACTACTAAATTTGAAAATCTAAAAGAAATGGATGAATATCTAAAATCACGGGAACCACCAAAGTTAAACCAAGAAGAGATCAACAGTTTAAACAGACCCATAACATATAAGGAAACTGAAACAGTAATACAAAGCCTCCCAACTAAAAAAAAAAGCCAAGGCCAAGATGGATTAACAGCAGAATTCTACAGAAGACCTCCAACCAATACTACTTAAATTATTTGAAAAGATAGAAACAGAGGGAGAACTCCTAAATTCCTTCTATGAAGCAAGCATCACTCTAATACCCAAACCGGGTAAAGACACAACCAAAAAAGAAAACTATAGACCATATTCTTAATGAATATAGATGCAAAATTCTCAATAAAATACTTGCAAACTGCACACAAACACACATCAAAAAGATCACTTACTCCCCAAATGGTATAAACTATAACAAATTCATATAAAGATATGTTATATGGTTTGTCTGATAGCACAAGAGAACCCAGGAGAACTCGGGCAACAGGTTGCAATTCTAATATCTGACATAATAGACTTCGAAGTAAAACTAATCAGATGAGATAAGGAGGATCAAGTAGGCCTTATCCCAGAGATGTAGGGATGGTTCAATATATGCAAGTCAATGGATGATATTAATAATATAAATGGAATCGAAGACAAAAAACACATTGTCATCTCAATAGATGCAGAAAAGGCTTTTGAAAAAATTCAGCATGCATTTATTTTCAAAGTCCTAGAGGGAATTGGACTGGAGGGAACATACCTCAACATAATTAAAGCCATATATAACAAACCTACAGCCAACATCATTCTAAATGGAGAAAAACTGGAAGCATTCCCATTAAAATCAGGAACTAGACAAGGATGTCCACTATCTCCACTCCTTTTCAACATAGTGCTTGAAATTCTTGCTAGAGCAATAAGACAGGAGAAGGAAATTAAGGGAGTACTAATTGGAAAAGAAGATGTCAAACTACCACTTTTTGCAGATGATATGATACTATACCGAAGAGATCCCAAAAGTTCCACAAGAAAAGTCCTAGAACTGATCAACACTTTCAGTATACTGGTAGGTTATAAAATCAATCTACAAAAATCAGTAGCCTTTCTATATACCAATAACAAGCATTTGGAGAAAGAATACAGGGAAATGCTCCATTCACAATTGCTGCCAAAAAAAATAAAATATCTTTGAATAAATCTGACCAAAGACACCACAGATCTCTATAGTGAAAATTTTAAATTGTTGGATAAAGAGATTGAGGAAGATACCAGGAGATGGAAGAACTCCCATGCTCGTGGATTGGAAGAATTAATATTGTGAAAATGACCATCCTACCAAAAGCAATATATAGATTCAATGCAATCCCAATCAAAATCCCCATGACATACTTCACAGAATTAGAAAAAAAAAAACTCTTTAAATTTGTATGGAAGCACAAAAAACCCCAGATATCCAAAGCAACCCTGAGCACAAAGAGCAACACTGGGGAATTACTATACCAAATCTCAAGTATACCACAGAGCTATAGTCATAAAAACAGCATGGCACTGGCACAAAAATAGACACATGGATCAATGGAACATCATTGAAGATCCAAACCCGAGTATACACAATTTCAGCCACCTGATATTTGACAAAGGTGCCAAGAATACATAATGGAGGAAAGACAGCATCTTCAACAAATGGTGCTGGCAAAACTGGATCTCCACCTATAGAAGAATGACACTAGATTTTTATCTTTCACCTTGCACACAAAACGTCAATGTGAAACTGGAAACCCAGAAACTATTAGAAGAAAATATTGGCAATAACTTACAAGATATAGGTGTAGGAAAGGATTTTCTAAATAGGACAGAAGTTGTTCCAGAAGTAAGGTCAGAAATCAACAAGTGGGATCTCATTAAACTAAAAAGCTTCTGTACAGCCAAAGAAACAATCAAAAAAGTGAAGAGAAAACCCACAGAATGGGAAAATCTTCACCAGTGACACATCTGACAGGTTTAACATCCAGAATATATACAGAACTCAAAAAACAAAGAATGGAGAAACCAAATGACCCAATGAAAAGATGGGCTAAAGATCTGATTCTCTGCAAGAGCAGTACAGGCTCTAAAAAGTCCCCGGTGGAGTGATCTTTAATACACTAGTACATTTCCGCGTGTTACCACCTAGAATTGATTTGATCTGATACGGCTTATCAAGGGACAGGGGTAGCGCTTCCACGTCAGTTCTACAACCACCATCCTACGGTCTTGTAATTTTGCCGATTTTAAAGAAACGGTTATATACTCCAGAGGCGGAGCGTGGGCTCCAGAGCCTCCAGCTAAAATCTGGCCACTCGGCAGAGCTGCCAGCACTCTCCTAGTGTTTCCTTTGCTCTTCCCACTTCCGCTTCCGGGAAAGTGATTCGCCACGCCTCGGCGGGGGGGCGGAGCTAACGGGGCCGGAAGTCAGCTCACTTCCGGCACAGGAAACTCCTGGCGGAAGCTGCGCCGGCTTGACAGCAAGGTCTGTGTCCGGCTGCCCCTGCCTGCTCCTCCGCCCGCTTCGCCTCCCCGCGCCTTACCGGCGAGGTCGCCTCTTCCTTATGTTCCGGGCCCGGAGTCCGGGCAGCAGAGACCCGCCCGCCGGCTCCTCGCCATGTCCGAAGTGACCAGAGAGCTACTGGAGCTGGTATGGGGCAGCAAGAGCAGCCCCGGGCTCTCGGACACCATCTTCTGCCGCTGGACGCAAGGTACCGGCTGCTCGCCCTTCCACACGACCGGCTCCCGCCCCTCGGGTGCCCTGCTCGGTCCCAGCACCCCGCCCCGGCCCTCGGGTTCCCGTGCTCGATCCCAACACCCGGCTCCGGCCCCTCGAGTGCCTGCACTCAGCCCCAGTAGTTGGCTTCTGCCTCTCAGGTGCCTGTGCTGTGTTCCAATACCTGGTTCCGACTCCTCGACTGCTCCGCGCTCGGTCTCAGTACCCAGACTCCGGCCCCTCGAGTGCCTGTTCTCTGTCCCAGTACCCAGCTCCAACTCCCCGGGTGTTTGTGCTCGGTCCCAGTACCTGGCTTCGACTCCTCGGGTGCTCCGCGCTAGGTCCCAGTACCTCGACCCGGCCCCTCGGGTGTCCCGCACCCTTTCCCAGTATCCGCGCTTTATCCCTGTACCCCTGCTCTGGCCTCTCAGGTGTCCAGTGCTCTCGGTACCAGTACCCGCACTTCCAGTATTCACTCGAGGTCCCAGTACCCCAGCTTGGCCCCAGTACTCGGTTGGTACTATTATCCCGGCTCTAGCCCTTTGAGTGCCCAGCGCTCGGTCCTAGCACCCATTCTCAGGGCTGAAATTGGATTTTGGTGGAGAGAGCTTAGGTGGGAGAGTGGTTGCACCTCTGCACCCTAGAGCTTGCCGCCTGCTCTCCTTGCTCCTGGGCGGAGGAGCCAGCGCCTGGTGGGCGCATGGAGTGGTGCCCGCACGGGGGTCGCTATTTTCATCTCTCCCTCTGGGTCGTCACATGCCCTCAACATCCAGCGCTTTATGTATGTTACCAGTGTTTGGTCAGTTTTGGTTTTCTTTTAAGCAGGGGACTCAAGATAACTAATGCCAGAAAGCTCTTAGTTGTTTGTGTTGTAATTATGTGGTTAGGTGTGGTGCTGGGAATTATGTGGAACAACTGTGTTGCTCACTGCGGGCTGTTCGCCTAGCCCAAGTATCCCAAGTTCTAAGACGGTATCTAAAGCTGTTCATTCCGTTTTAAAGGTATCACAGCACTTCCTAACCAGTCTCATGGTGCTTACAGTTTTCACTTATATAAGTCTGATTAATGATACAAAATAACTAAGTAACTATTGATTGAATTTACACAGTGCCAGGCTCTGTGCTGAGTACTTTAAACTGGCAATTGTCCCTTATTCTTAAGTTTTGATACTACAACACAGCTAATGGGTTAGTTAAGGTGATTAGGAAAAGGTATAACTAGTACACCTCTGGCACCCAGTCAGTAATACAAAATGCTTATTGAGAACACCGGCTCTGAGTGGAGGAGGCTGAAATTTTTGGCAAAAAAATAAAAAATCCCTCTTTCAAAAATGTGAAAATTGGGATTTAAGTAATATCTTCCATTTTAGACATGCATGTCCTAAGAGTTGGCAGTTAGAATGATGACCTACCGCAAGAAGTTGGACTATTTATCCCATTACTCTTGTTTTGCAAATAAGAAAAAATGAGTTCCAAAATTAAATGGGCCAAAGATTGGTAGGACCTGGAGTTAACCTTAAATCCCCCGACTCCTAATTCTGCTTGGATTTCATTGTATACAGTTTTGTATTCAGTAATATTAATATTTCTTAAAATTAGACATTTGCATTTGCAAATGTTGACTCTGGTAAAATTTTCCATGTTTACTGTATGCTAATGATGACAGCTCTGAAATGCACACAACTGGAAAGGATTAAAATATTTCACTTTTGTTGTAATTGGTCAACACTTATTAAGCATATTACAAAATAGAATAAAGTAATAATCAGTCTTTTATATTTATACTATAGTGCAAATTCAAAGAAAATTTAGAAAAGCAGTTATAACAATGTTGAAATCAGTTTTGGATTAGGCGTACTTAAGTGTTAGGTTTACATTATTGATTTAAACCTCAGTTACTTTGTAAAGTTTGTGATGTTTACATCCTTGTTATTACTCAGGGCCAAGTAAATACATTTAGATACTTGGCACAGCATCTGACACCTAGAAATCCTCATTAAATTGTAGCTATTGCTATATTAATTTACAAAACATTTAAATTGTGAACTAAGCTAAAGATCACTGTGTCTCTGCCTGACAATCTTAAGAAATTTGATGGATAAATATTTATCCTTATCCTTACTATTGGCCTAATAGAATCCTCTACCTTTAAGTCACGTTTTGTTCCTTAAGCTTATAGATCAGTTCAGTGACTAGTATTTCAGACTAAAGAAGCCCCCGCTCCAGAAACACTGCAAGTTGTGTTATGGATCTGTATGCAGTTTTTCAAGGCCTTAACATTGGTCAAGATTTTAAGACAAGAAAACGTGTGGGTTTTGAACTAGCCCTGAATGGAGGAGGGGTGAACTGCTATTGGTCTAGGTTTGTTAATTGTGGTAGTCACTCCTTCATTCTTAGAGGTCATCAATAAGTCTTGCTGTAGCGGTCATTTGGGGATTATGGGAATAGGCACAGGGGACTGCCTTACTGCATTAGTAATGTGACTTCGACCCTGGTTTTACTTTGTGGTCGATAATTAATTGAGCTTTGATTTAATATCTACAACCCTGGTCACCTGAAAATAAGATACATGTGTAGAATGTTTAACATAAAGTTCTATGTAGAAAGATTCCATTTATGACATCAGGCCAGTTTGTTTTACCTGTTAAAGTAGCAAGCTGACAGAGTATCACATGCTTGGTTGTTTCTTTATTAATTTGACACTTTTCAATAATTTTTTTCAATATTTTTTTATTATTTGTATTTTGTGTGTATTGCCTGCATGGGTATGTGCAGCTGTGTTGTACAATGCCCACAGAGGTCAGAAGAAGGTGTCGAATTCCCCTGAAACTGGAGTTACTGTCAGTTGTTCACCGTCACGTGGGTGCTGGCAATTGAACCTGGGTCCTCCGCAAGGCCAGCCAGTGCTCTTAACCATTGAGTGAGCTCTCTCTCCAGTCCTACTTTTCAATAATTCTTTGGAAATCCCATTCATTTAAAACAAAGAAGTATAAGTTTTATTTAAAGATAATAAGCCTTTTTAATATAAAAGCTTGAAGCTGGCTTTTTTTTTTTTTTTTTTTTTTTTTTTAGACAGGGTCTCCCTGTAGCTCCAGTTGCCTGGAACTCACTCTGTAGACCAGGCTGGCCTCGAACTCATAGAGGATCCGCCTGTCTCTGCCTCCTGAGTGTTGGGATTAAAGGCATGCACCACCACGTCCGGCGAAGCTGGCTCTTTTAATTCTAAGTTACTTTCTATTCTCTGTTTTCCTCCTTATTTGCCTAAAGTACTTTTTGAAAGCACGTTTTCACTTCTTTAGTTCACCACTTGCTTCCCCCAGCCCCCTCCTATAAACTACACTGGTGTCCCCAGCCCTTGCAGTGAAGCTGACAGGGTAAGCAAGAAGTCAGTATACCAACATTAAGTGTCTTCAGTAGTAGGATGGTGAAGGAACAGAGGGTTCTGGGGTGGGGTGGCCTGGATGGTCCTATTTTAAAAATAGGAAACATTTGGAGTCACTGAGCTAGTCATGCAGACATCTGAAGAAAATGTTCCAGACAGAGGGCATTACCCTTATAAAAGTCTTAATGCCAAATATGCCTTGCCTCTTGGTCAAGGAGCGGGAAGGAGGCCAGTGTGCCTGAAGAGGGACAGAGGGAAGGGGAGAGTAATAAAAGCTGATCTAAAAATAAGGTGGTCCTCTAAGGCTTTCAAGCCATTATAAGGACTTTGGCCGGCATTTTGAATGAAATGTGGGTCACTGGAATATTTAGTGCAAAGCAGACATGAGCTCTTAGGTTTTTAAAGGGTTTACTTGGCTGCTTTGGTTGACAGTCAGTAATGAAACAGTAATTAAGATCACAGTCCTGTAGTAAACCAGGAGGAAAGGTGGCTTAGATCAGATTGATCACATCCCAGCAGAACCCAACCAGAATCATGTCTAACAGAAGTAGCATGAGCCATATGAACGAGAGTATTTGACCAACTAGTAATTTGATTTTCATTGTTGATTGTACAGCTCAGTGTTTGGCAGACTCTGTAAGGGCCAGTGGCCTTTTTAATATGTAATTTATGAAAAATGAAGGATCATTTAAAAATACAATAGGGCCAGCGAGATGGCTCAGTGGGTAAAGCTACTTGCCATGAAGCCTGACAACCTGAGTTTGATCCTCAAAACCTACACGTTATCCTTTCATATGTGCGTCCATACCATATACAACACACAGACACATGCACAAATCAGTAGTGTATTACCAGTTCGTTTGGATCAAAGTTTGAACATTTATGAAAACGTGGTTTAATAGCATACCAAAATAATAAAATATGAGTATCATTAGTTGTTTTCTAAGAGAGGATAATATTATGTATCACATTATTTCAAGTCTCATTGTTATTAGAGCATTTCATTTCTCTTATTAGGTTTTCCTTTCTCTAACATAACTAAATTATAATTCACCTAGTAAGTAATTTTTTTTAAAGCCACAATTTGTAAGTGCATATGACAAACTACTTGGTTCTCCTATGAAGCCCACCTATTACACAATGTAGTTTATTTAACTCAAGGATTTAAAAGCATCTGCTGTTATACAGTATGCGTTACAGATTCTGGAAATCTTAATTTTTACAACCCTACAAGATTGAAAAGGGTAAATGTTACTATTGTAACTTTTTTTTTTTTTTTTTGGTCTTTTTGAGACAGGGTCTCCTTGTAGCTCCAGCTGTCCAGGAACTCACTACGTAGACCAGGCTGGCCTTGAACTCAGAGATCTACCTGCCTCTGCCTCCTGAGTGCTGGGATTAAAGGCCTGCGCCACCACGCCCGGCTTATTCTAACACTTTTAGCTAAGAAAATTAGGGCCACATTCAGATATTTGGCTTAACCAAAATCACCTGACTTGTAGTTATCAAATCAGGTCATTTTATGGCCTTGCCTTTGCTGAATTCTAAAACTTCAGGGGCCTTAGTTGTCAACCTGGTTTGAGGAATGAATATATGAACAGGTGAGATGTGAAAATAAAGAACTGGAAAATTGGAGCAAGGTCATGACTCACATTCAAATTAGGAGCTGTAAAGCGTGAAACATGACAACAGTGGTAGAATCAGTTATTAGATGAGGAATTTTAGTTCTGATCAAGAAAAAGCCCTTTGTGATAAGCAAATTCCTTTTAAATATAGGAAAAATGTGAGAATGAAAACACATGACAAGAAAAGTAACTATGTTGACAAACTCCTTGTCAGAAAGTAAAAACAACTCACTGAGATGTGGTGGTAACTTTAAGCTCCCGTGGATCTTGAAAGTCACATTATATTGATAGAGTTTTTAAGGAAGGGCAGAATGCATTGCTAATCCATCATTTAATACATAGAGTGAAAGTTTGGTAGAACCTAATCGCTCCTCCGCACTTACGTACACAAGGAGCCTTACCGTATTCCCTTTGGACCAACAGTGAAGGCCTCTTGGCTCAACTCTCTTCGCTTCATCCTGCTTAGCTTCTGAGATCAGAAGGGATCGGGCACATTCAGGGTGGTATGGCCAGAGACTCTGCTTCAGGACTCAATTCCTAGGTTGGACCTTAACTTGGGTGTGTAAATGTGGCGAGCAGCACTCCTTTCTCACTTTCCTTATTAAGATCTTTCCATTCATTGTGTTGACTCCCAGGTCTCCATTTACCCTGTCACCGAACTCGCCGTCTGCTGTGTGTTGCTGGACAACACTGGGCCAGACATCAGGACAGACAGCACCTGAGCCTGGAGCAGCCCTCAGCTTCTGTTCTTTATCCTTGTGCTTTTCAGAATTGGCATTTGGGTAATCCCTCAGTCCTCTGCCTGCCTTCATTCCCTGTACTTACCTCAGTAGCTTTTCTTCCTCTTGTCTTGGAGCCTTCTAGGATTTGCATCTGATAGGCCAGCGGCTTTCCAGCTTCTTGAATACAGGATCCCATTACACTCTTGAAAATTAAGGATTTCAACATGAAAACATACAGCATAAACAAGGCCGGTGGCATATAACATCTGTTCTGACTTCAGGTGGGTCTCCTGCCACATTTGAGCGCCTGTCTATAGTAGTACTGTCACACCAACACTTTCTCAGATCTCTTTTTCCTATATGCATCATATACCCTTTGTTCTTTTGGCTAAGATCAAGTGTAAAAATAATTCCTTATTCAACTACCATTGGTGCCATTGTCCTTTTCCCTTCTGCCAAAACTGTGACAAATAGTTCACTTTTGCTGATTTTCCTTCAATTATTTAAAGTTGGGCTGCGCTCTCTAGTACTCTGAATTTTCTTTTGTAGTATTCCCAGTGGCATGCTTGATCCAGCACTTTATGTCTTAGCATTTATCACAGCTGACTGCTCTTTGTATCTACTCTTCCCTTTCTAGAACTTCAGCTAATATAGTTTTCTCTTAGCTCTTTTTCTATTCTGTCATTCTCCATTGCTGACCAAGCCCACTACATCCTTTTTTTTTAACATTTCAACTTCTTTATCTTTGCTGGGCATGTTGGCAATCACTTTAACTGACCTGTTTCAGATGATTCACATTGCTGTCTTGAGTCCTAAATCTTGCCCTGAGGTCCACTATCTCCTACTCCTTCTAGTGGCGATAAAAATGGTTATGTTACAGTTTTGTAGCTGAACTTGGCATTCTTTGAAACAAACACCCTTACTGTCTTCCCTTTCAAATCATCAACATGCACTAGTAAACAGTGACTGTACAACATCTGGTGAGAAAACAGCCATCAATAAAAGACAGGATATCTGTAAGGTAAATTAGCATAAATACAGATTGTGATAAATACTGGTGGTGTTGAGGGATGATCAACTGTTAGGTTTGCCAGGCAATCTCTTACGGAGCTGACGTCTAAAATGAGTCCCGAAGATTATGATGATGATAGCTGGACAATGTGAGTAGAGAAAGCATTTCATAAGGCAAGAACACGAGTATGGAAAAGAACTTGGTGTGCTGGAAGGAGCCAAAGTCATTGTAGCTCAGGAAGGCGACACTAAACTGAGGATCCATTGTGGTCAGTCCTATGGTATTTTTAGACCATGGAAAGAAAGGAGTGAAAATTTTATTCTACTTACAATTGAGACCGTAGAAACATTTTGAGCAGGCTGTGACCAAATCCAGTTTCTGTTTCTGAAATACTCTTCTGGTAGCTCCCGTGCACAAATGGGAGTTACAGAGATGAGGAGGAGCTGGAAGGTGTGGCTGGAAACTTTTATCAGGATTCAAGGTGAGAGAGGATAGTGGTTTGACTGTAAGGTAGCCTGGTATGATATAAAAACGGACATGTTCAAGATAGGTTTTGGAGACCTGAACCAAAAGGAAGGGAGAAGCCTGAAAGATACGTAAAGAGTTTTCTCAAAGGGTTAGAATGTGCTTCAGGCAGAAGTGTTACATATAAAGTTTAAGAAACAGGCCAGACATGGTGGTATCTGCCTGTAGTCCCAGCGCTTGAGAGGTGGAGGCAGGAATACCTGAAGACCTGGAAGATCCCAGCCTGCCTGAAACGTAACCAGAGAGAATGGCCCAGAGTGAAGCAGAGAAATAGCTAGGGTCACACTGTACATGTCCATATTAAGGACTTTAGATTCTGTGTGTCAAGTCTGTGTTTGACAATTACCTAGTAATTACCAGTGATGGAAATGGAGGGACTAGATGAAATTACTGCTACTAGCAGTAGATAAAATCTGTATGTGAACCAGGGAGAATATAGAAAAAGATCTTAATGGCAGGACCTGGAACGTGAGCATTTAAGAGGCACTGCAGTGGAACTGAGAGGATAACAGATTAAATAACATTCAAACATGGGATAAGAGTGACTAAAATCCAAGAGACAGAGTCTCTTTAGGATTCATGTTCATCACTGAAGTGATTGTCAGGAAGTTAAAAAGACTTGAGAAATGGCCTATTACTGGTCAGCTGTGAACATAGGTGACTGTGAACTTGATGGAGTCAGAGATCAAACACCACATTGTGTAAATTGTAGTTGTGAGATAAGAAACTCAAGATTTGCATATAGATTGGGGGATTTAGAGGACAGGAAGGAGAGCTCGCTGGTTGGATTTCTTGTTAGAATCAATGATTTTAAAAAAATATGTAGAACACACATTTAAATATTCTGAAAAGATATGACAGGAGATAGGGAGGTAAGGTAGAATGGGAGCTTTAGTATTTTGGGGTTCACTAGAAACTTCAGAGGCATCTCTGATTTCTTCTATACCAAACATAGACTCAACTTAAAAATACACTAACCATAACTTTATCTTAGAAATACTATTTGAAAATATTTTTTCCTCTGTACAGAAAAATAGCTTTTATTAGCTCAGTTCTATTGGGCTCTTGAAATAACCTTTCCGTTTCCGTCTTTTAAAGAAGTAAACCTTGTAGTCGGTGACTACTAGACCTCACTACGCTGATGGGGCCCTTTTTAGTACAGCCTCTGCCGTCATTCCTGCCCATGTGCCATTTCCTCCTTTCTAACCCCAACCTGCCCTTCAGTGGCAAGTTTTCCTCCTCTTACAACCCTTTTCCCTTTAATGAGGATTGTTCCTTTGCCTGACTGTCATTGCTGCACCCCCACGCCCACCCCTACCCCCTAGTCATGTCCTTATTCAAGGTCAGCCTCCTGGGGGTCCTCTGCTGACTTGATTTGACCAGAGGAAGTGCCCTCTGTGTATCCACCGCACCCTTCGTTCTCTATGCTGACATGTTTTAGCAATTATCTGCTCACGTGTGTCTTAAGCTGGACTGTCCCAGCTCCTGTAGCCCAGAGACCCATGCATTCTTGTATGTAGTCAAGATCACAGGTATCTGATGTTGATGAAATATTTGTTGGCTGAGTTAAATTTTTACAAAATTCAGTAGATTCCAAACATGTTGCAATTGAAAGTGAACATTTAAAAAACAGTAGCACTGAGGCTTGCAGGCTGAGGATGAAGTGATTCTCCCAGTGATTTCCAGTGGATTCTCTTGACTTTGGCCTCAGGGCCCTCTGCAGAACTGCGCTAGCTGCTGTCAGTAAATGCTGATTAGGTAATGTCTGAAATAAGGTAGAGCCAGTGTGTGGACACTTGCTATTTACAATGCCATTTAATTTCTAACCTATAGTATGTGACCCAAGGATTGAAATAAAGCAGGCAATACTGTAGTTACTGCCCAGCCCACTACTCCCTTACACTGTACTCAGTAAAGTATTTTATTTTTATGTGTGTGAGTCTTATTGCCTGCGTATATGTAAATGCACCCGCGTTGTGCAGTGCCTGTGGAGGACAAAGGAGGGTGTGGGATCCCGTGGATGTGGAATTATAGACAGTTGTTAGCCACCAGGTGGGTGCTGGGATTCGAACCTAGGTCTTCTGCAAGAGCAGCCAGTGATCTTAACTGCTGAGTCATCTCTCTAGCCCCTTAATAAACCATTCTTTGAGAAAAAGAATGTTGCCTAGAAAGAATTTGAATTTCTAGTTTTCCTTAGAACCAATTAAATTATTTAAAAGTAAGATTTAGGGATTGGAGGTATAGTTTAGTGGATGAATATGTGCTCAGCATTCACAAGCCCTTTATTTCAGACACAAAACCAAGATACAAATAAAACTCAGATTTACTGTCCTTTTATTCAAGTCCACTTTACTTTCTTAGAGTGGTTCCTGGGTGCAGGTGCGTGTGTGTGTGTGTGTGTGTGTGTGTGTGTGTGTGTGTGTGTGTGACAGAGAGAGACAGAGACAGAGATAGAGATTTCATGCACACCTTTTCCAGAGCATTCTTTTGATCCCTTAAGAAGTACCCTGTCTGGTAACTGTAGATATGTTGCTGTTGTCATAAGTAATCTCAAAGCAAAGTGCATGAAAAGTTCTTTCATAGCTGCTACTGGAATTATTTTTAATCTTTGCTGTTGCTTTCATTTTTAGGGTTTGTGTTTAGTGAATCAGAGGGATCTGCATTAGAACAGTTTGAAGGTGGCCCCTGTGCTGTTATTGCACCTGTTCAGGTAACATATACTACTTTACCAACTTTAGAGAGACCTATTCAGATATCTAGTGCTCTTTGTTTTATAATGTCTGTACTCTACATAAGAACAAGATATGGTCAGCTAACAACTTTTGCACATAAAGTTGTTTTAAGTATCTAAAATAAAAATGAATTCAGGACATGAGTTTTAAGCAGTAACATTTTTGACTATGTTTTCAGAAGAGTAGGAATTAGAGATGGAGGCATTTTGTGAATATAAAGATACTATTGAAACTGGGTCTGGTGGCACAGGTCTTTAGCACTCGGGAGACAGAGGCAGAGGTAGGTAGATCTCTGTGAGATCAAAGCTAGCCTGGTCTACATAGTGAGTTCCAGACCAGCTGAGGCTATAGGGAAACCCTGTCTCAAAAAAACAAAAAAGATCTTTTGAGCAGTAACACTTAGGCCAGGCGTGGTGGCTCACACCTTTGATCCCAGCACCTGAGAGGCAGAGGCAGGGGGATCTCTGTGAGTTCAAGGCCAGCCTGGTCTACTAAGTAAGTTCCAGGCCAGCTGGGGCTACAGGGAGACCCTGTCTGAAAAAGACAGGAAAAAAAAAAGAGTAGTAACACTTTACACATTACAAAAGTATAATCATAGTAATTATACCATTTTCATTTATTTTTTCTACAAAGATGATAGTCCTAGAAAGTTGAAGATGTTAATATTTTCATGGCCTAAGATTTTTTTAAATGTTGAAAATAAGTTGGCTTTTTATACTGTAATAAGTGCAATGTATTTCAAACAATTTTAAAAATAAATTGTTCTTTGTACAAAAGAGATTTCTTATGAATTTCAATATTTTTGAATTTTACAAACGGATTACTATAAATTGTTACATTGTTGAAAATCAAGACATTATAGTTTTTGTTAATCTAACGTCCGGCATAGCCATGTAACTTCAAAACTGTTTATATTTTAATCTCTATGCTTTAAAATATATGTTTAATATGATGTGATATATGTTATTTGCTGGATATAAAGAATACATTCTTAAATAGTTTGCTACAAAATACATTTTTCTCTCTAATATTCTATTCCATGAGCTAACATGATTAAATTTCTTCAAAGAATAACGGTGACTCTTTTCACACTGGTAAAATTATTTTTAAAAAATTTGAGTGCTTAAACTTTGTTTCAGAATTGTTAAGGATATAAAGTACAAATTTAAGTATAACTTAATAATATATTACACCTATATGATTATATATGCTAGTTATACCATAATACATAATATAATTAATAGTAATTTATTATATCTGTTTTACTGAGTAACAAGCAAATTTTGGGCACCAGTAGGAATCTTGTCTGAAATCTGAAGACTCTTTGTCCTGTCCATGTGTAGGTTAGACTTTACTGAAAGTCTGTGAATATTGTTAAATAAAGATATGTCACAGGCATTTAACATTCAATGTATTTTAAAAATATACAAGGATAATTTTAATGTTAAAAATCTTGAACCTATCCTTATAGACTTTTAAGGTAGTGATTTGACTTAAAGAATATACCAATATTTTTTAATCAGTACAATAATTTTGTTTATATTAGTGTTTCAACTTAAACATCAAATCATTTAGACATGAAAGGAAGGCACACCCATGAACTCTGAGCAGTATGGTTGCCTAAACAAGACCTGCGTAATAACAACACCAGTTGACAGCCCCGTGTGGATGGGGCAAGTTTCATAAGGTCCCACCTGTAGATGAAGAGCTACACGAAGTCATGGCTGCCGAGGGGAGATGAAGTCCATGACAGGTTATCCAATCCCAGATGGTCAGCCCTAAGCTTATGTATGCATGGTTACTGTTAAATGGACTCAGTGGATGTGTGTGTGTGCGTGTGTGTGTGTGTGTGTGTGTGTGTGTGTGTGTGTGTGTGTCTAATAATTAGAGGTCACAGAATTGAGGAGGATTGGAGACGGTGTGGGAAGAGTTGGAATGGGAAGGGAGAGGGGTAGAAGTGATGTGAACAGTACTCATGGATGAAAGTCTCACAAAAAATGAACAGTAACACAAAGCTAAATGATTAAGAGCATTGAGAAATGAGTAAGTCCAGAGATGACATTAACTTGTAAAAAGATTAAATTTAGAACAATGGAAAAATAGTCATAATACTAGCATTAGGCAGGTAACTCATTTATCTTATTCCATGTAACCATTAGAAGACATTATTACATACTATGATAAAACAAGAACGAAAATTTGTAGTGAAATGAGATGAAATTTGATGAATGCCACCAATTCAGTTTGAGGAGGGAATGATTTTAGATCGCCTCATACCATACACCAGGTATATTCTTGAACTATTTAACAATAAGAAAACCCAAATATAAATGTACTAATGTTCCAAGAGAAAGTATTGTTTTAAAATCAGAAAAAAAAATCCTAATAAATATTAGCAAGTGAATGTTGCCTGTCTTATACTAGGAATTTGTTCAAATTGGATAAGAAAGTACTCAGACCCCAGTGGTAAAGTGGGCATTGCTGTGCAGTTAGGAACAGGGGGTGACGCTAGACAGCGAAACAGTGAAGACCCAATGCAGAGAGTGAAATGGACCCAACTTGTTTGTTTCTTGTTTTTTAACTTTCTAGATGGAAACCTGTTGGTGCAGGTGGGAGGAACGTCACTGGCTCTGGAGCACTGCTGTCCAGTGCAGATTTAACAAAGAGTCCGGGAACTGTGATAATACAGATGTTTTTTAATGTGATAGATGTACTTTTAAGAATCTTAAAAAAAAAAAGAAACCTTCATATGGGAAGTTTTCTTCAAGAAGAAACTCATTTATAGTAGCAAAGAGTTGCAACCAATCTAATATACCATGATAAAATTTAGATGAGAAACAATAGGGAAATCTTGATGACTGATAGGAAAGTAGTGATTATAGTTATTAATTTCTGTGAAAAACAAAAAAATGTAAAATGTAAACATTGATTCCTTCTTATAAAGCCAGGTATACAAGAAAATGGAAAAAAATGATAACATACCTCAAAATGCCAACAGCAGTAGAACGACTATTCTCTCTACCTCAGGAGCCTTGTAGTTGATTGTACTGCTGCAGTTATGTAAACTCTGATGATAGTATATGTTTGATTAAACTGTTTGCTTGATTTCTATGTGAGTCCTGTAGAATTTTTCTCAGGTTTTTTTTTTTTTTTTTTAACCCCTTGTTAAAATTATTTGAATGGATTGCTTGTTAGGTGTCAGGTCAAATGATGACTGTGTTTCATAAACTTTTGCATATCACTGCAACCTTTTAAAAATTGTATCATTAAGCCAGGCGTGGTGGTGCACGCCTTTAATCCCAGCACTCAGGAGGCAGAGGCAGGCAGATCTCTGTGAGTTTGAGGCCAGCCTGGTCTACATAGTGAGTTCCAGGACAGCTGGAGCTATAGGGAGACCCTGTCTCAAAAAGACCAAAAAAAAAAAAAATGTATCATTATTATTTTTGAGTAATAGGAGTGGTAGATTAGGACTGAAACTTAGGTCTGTCTGACTAAAAGTGGCCTTCACTGTTTGCTAATGCTTCTAGGTACTTGTCAGGAGTCATCCCGGAACACCCCCTTTTTTTGGACTTGCCCTATGGATATTCAGATTCAGTAGGTGGAGCCCTGACTTCATTTTTAATAAGTCAGGGTGAACTATACCTTGAGAAGGAAACACTATGGCTTTCAGCTGCTTTCTGTGAAATAGCTAGTAAACGTAGTTGGCTCACCAAAGGAAAGGATTAGCAATGAATGTTTCTTTTGAATCTTAGAGCTTTATGAGTTAAACCATGAAGATAGTAACTCCTTCCTTCTCTCCCTCCCTCTCTCTCATTTTATTTATTTATTTGTGTGTGCGTTACTGGATATCTAGCCCATAATCTTACCATGATAGGTAACCACATCCATGGCCCTTTTGTATTTAACTTTTAAGACATGGCATTGCTAAGTTGCCCAAGATGGCTAGTAGTGGTATTCCTTGTATGACAGCTCAGAGCTAACAGAAAAGAATGGCTATTGTATTTAGGTGTCTTTTTATCTTCAGAAATCCAAAATAAATGTAGACTTGTTCCTATAGAGCCTTCATTTTATGGGTGGAACAATAAATTTCTGTAATTTCCAGATACTTCTCTATTATATGAGTCAGTTCTCTGTTCACTAGGAACTGTATCAGGAGTGGGCAATTTTATGGATCTGGTACAAAGTTATAGTTGCATATTCTGAGTAATAACTGTACAGTTACTGTTGAATATGAAAGAAAACCATTTGGAGCTTTAATCAAACCATAAGATCAGAAATGTAGTTGGATTTCCCATTTTTAAAATAAAAGGATTTTATGAGGTATGTTTATACTGCATTCTAACCATTGCTTTAATTATGTAAAGGCATTTCTTTTGAAGAAGCTTCTGTTTTCCTCTGAGAAGTCGTCATGGCGGGATTGCTCAGGTATGAGAGCCAGCTTTGCAAATTTTCACTCCATCTTCAATTTTAGACATGAACCATGCAGCATTTATTATCATGTCCATTTCCAGTAACTTTAGATGGTAATATAACCTTAAAGGACACATGCATGCTCTGGTGTGTGTTTGACAGGGTCTTGCTACATAAAAAGACGGGCCTAGCATTTGCTGTGTAGCCCAGGCTAGCCTCAAACTCAAGATTCCTGCCTTAACTGCTAAGCGCTAGGGTTACAGCCTTGCACTACTATGCCTGTTTTTTTGTTGTTGTTGTCGTTTACGTGTTTATTTTTGCCTCTTTCCTCTCTCTCCTTTGTTATTATTATTATTATTGTCTTTTTTGAGCTCTGATCAGAAGCTCAGCATTATCTTTGTATTCTTGCATCTTTTATTATAACACTTTACAAAACATGAGCACTGCAGGCAGTTATATTGCAGATGAACGTGTCATTGTCTACAGCATGCATAAGTCTGGTGCATAATGCTACCTGATAGTAACCAGCATTTGCATTCCACCTGGCAGTGTGCAAACATCTTTCCTTCGTTCACACAATTTCTTGTGAGCCTCACAATAACTTCTGGGAGAAGGTAGAGTTTCACGTGTAAGGATATAACAGCTTCCATTCTAAACTATAACCATAGACTATACTAATGATTTTGAGTTGAAGAGTCAAGGTGTCATGATCATATGTTTATGATTAATATGAAATGCATTTCAGTAAAGGAACTAGTCAAGAGAGTTAATCATTAGCATGACCTTTTTATTAGTGAAATTGTTTCTTCCTCACAAATCCAATCACTTTGATAAATTTGGGAAACAACAAAAATTTCATGAAGGCCATGGTGATACAAAGTGAATGGAATTATTCCTGCCTGGAAAGAACTTTGAGTCCATTACAAAAGACAAACCTTAGCCAGGCGTGGTGGCACATGCCTGTAGTCCCAGCACTTGGGAGGCAGAGGCAGGCAGATCTCTGTGAGTTCAAGGCCAGCCTGGTCTACATAGTGAGTTCCAGGACAGCTGGGGCTACAGGGAGACCCTGCTTCAAAAAGACAAAAAAAAAGAAAAGACAAACCTCTTTTGTCATAAAATGTGATGTAGAATGTCACATAGGCTGTATCGAAAGTTTCAGAACATGGTACCATGTCTGGAGAGGAGCACCACTTAAGAAAGGGAGTGGTACCAAGGTTCTGAAAGAAGTGTTGGTGTTCCGGCCCCCCTCGGCAAGATGCCCATGCTCCAGTCACCACAGGGTGGTGTCAGTGGCTCCTGGCTTATGCAGCATAGTCTGGCTGCTTCTGCTAATGGAATGCTTTGCTGACAGTGTAAGCTCACGTTCTTGTTCCTGTGAGATAAGATGTTCAGATACTAGCGTTCAGAAGAAGGGAAAAGTAGAGGTCTCCAGGGGCCCTGGCATTGTCTGTCTTACATGCTGTGTGCAGCTTAAGAGGGATAATTTGCATCTGATTTTTCTAAGTGGCATATTATTTCTCCTAATGTTAACATCTGCATTTGCTATTCTTGTAACCGATGCCAGTATTTAAAGTGGTAGTATTTAATCCTCAGGCACATTGCTTTTCTGAAAAGTAATTTAGAGTCTCCTGGTTGTGTATGGATTTTCCTCATTATTATAAAATGCTTGATTTTCATAATAAAAACTAAGGCTTTCTTGCTATTGTTCATATCAGGATGACTTTCTTTCTCATGGTAAACCTTATAACTTACACTTTGGTTATTTTTAGAGGAAGAGCAGAAGGAACTCCTTTGTCACACCCTATATGATATCTTAGAAAGTGCTTGTGATAGCTCTGGATCCTACTGCTTGGTTTCATGGCTACAAGGAAGGACCACTGAGGAGACAGCTGGGAGTCCCGGGAGCCCTGCAGAGTCTAGTTGCCAAGTGGGACATTCTTGTAAGATACATTTTTATTTCCAAAGTAATTTCTTATACCTTTGTTTTAGTAAAACTATTAAATTTGAAGGAAATATACTTTAACTTTTTATAATTTTTACTTAAGCTTAATCTTTACTATTTTCTATTTTTCTTCCCATTATTTTAATTGTAAGACAATTGCATTTTTGCAAAAGGAACTGCATGTATCTCTTACACTTTTTGTAAAAGGTTCTAGCTTACTTCTGCTTGATAGCAATCTTCTTTGAACACTAGAACTTTGATTTTAAATGTTTAAGGAACACTGCCCTGTATACTATAGTCTCTGATGTTTTCTTTAGTGTTGGAGATGAGAGGAATTTTTCCATTATTAAATGCCTAAATCTCTTCAGTTGCATTTAGAACAAAGATGAGGACATTTTCTTAATTATATACTATTCTTTTGCTCCTGAACTTCGGGCATTGTTAGAAGTATGGATTATTTTAAGGTAATTTTAGTTATATTTTATGTCACAAGTTTGATTGAAGTTTCTTTAAAATAATTTAACGTCTTTCTCATGCATAAAAAATTAGACATTCTGTGGTCTCTAGTGTTCAAACATTCGTAAAACTTGCCAAAATGACCTAGTAAAATGGAGGCTTCTAGTGGCAGGAACAGATTAACCGTTGCTTTTCTGCTTTGCTTCTGAGGAATAATCTTGCTAGTTGAGTTTTTAGTTCAAATGACTAAGCGCTTTATTTCCCTTAGTGCATCTCATTAACCATCATGTGAATAGAAATTGCTTTGTAAAATTTCAGTTCCTGATTTTAGGAAATTTTGATTGCTTGTGATGAGCACTTCACTCGCTGTAGGCTTACCTGGGGCTCTGCTGCCCTGGCCTCGTGCACGCCGTATTGTCACTGTCTTCTTCCTGCTCCGTCTGCACTTGAGACGCTTGAGCCTGGCAAAATTTTAGTAGCACATTTGCAAGGAATCATTTTTAATGTTTGAACTTCCCTTGATGTTTCATTTTGGGCCTTTAAAACATTGCCTTTCAAAAAGAATTTAGCAGTTTGAGAGTTGATAAGGACATTTAAAGAACAAATGGAAACCATTCGCAAAGATAATAAAATGTCATTTAAGACTGACCTTAAAATGTTTTCTAGAATTTACTTTATGGCATGTAAACATAGTTGAGCTTTTAAAAAGGTGTTCTAAAGAATATGTGCTTAAAATCAGATTATATATGTGGGAAAATAGTATGATTTTGGATATCTTTTAGCATTTTAATAGGATTTAATAGTATACTATTGCTTACGATGGAATAAGTAGTATGTTTTTTTACTAATAGCTAAAATGCTTTAGAGTAAATTGGCCTCATAATACATTGTTACTTCAGTAACCAATTTACATGGGCATATTATATTGAATTCCCATCCCCCAAATTGTTGTAGTTTACTTTGTGCCTTGTTTTAAAAGTAGACATGACATAAAACCATATTTGAAATCTGCTTTTAATTTATATACATTTAAAACATTTTAACTGAAAATTTGAGAATTTATCTTAGATATTGACAGTTGAACTGAACTTATATTAAGACTTTCATTCCATATAACTTTTTTACTTGTTCTTTCCTTTATTCCCAGCTCCGTTCCTTTGTGTTTTATTCTCCACTGTCTCTGCCTGCTGAGCTTTTTCTTTGCTTGCCTCTCTAGAGTGCTCTCTCTATGTCCGCTCTCATAGTGTACCTAGTGAAACGTAACCAAGCATTGTAAAGCAGTATAATTTGGAAAAGGCTGGGTAGATTTATTATGTCATTGTAATAAAGTATTGTGAAGTGTTTTTCCCTCTCACTAGTAGTATATTGTGTGTAAGCACCAATTTCATTGGCTTCTTTGGTGTGTCTATTTTTGGCTTGTTGGTAATGCACATTTGTTTGCAATAGTGAATACTTGGGTTCAGTTTCAGTTTGTTTCCCACATAAACCCAAAGATTAATCTATTTGGTCTTGTAAAGATTTCAGAAAGTAATTTAAAACATTTGAAAATTAAAACTAGGTTTTATAAAGCTAGTATAATGTGACATTTTAAATTATAAGTAAAAATTTTGAATTTATAATCAATTTCTTTAATCACTAGTGAAAATTTATATGTGAACCTGAACCTGTTGAGATTTGCTTAATAAAATTTATATGATATTGTTCATTGTAATAAAGTAGGCATTTTGATTAGCCATTTTTAAAGACTTCTTCTTCTGGGAGCCAAGATGAGTTTAAGTTCCAATGCTCTGTACTGCTCTGTGCTCTGGGATGGCGTCTGTGCCTCAGGCCCTTCTTCTGTAAATGAAGGCAGGAGAGTTATCCTGAGCCTTAAATGAGGTTAGACCGGCATTTAAAAGAGAATCTGGTGCATGCCTTTAATCCCAGCACTCGGGAGGCAGAGGCAGGCAGATCTCTGTGAGTTCAAGGCCAGACTGGTCTACATAGTGAGTTCCAGGGCAGCGGGGGCTACAGGGAGACCCTGTCTCAAAAAGACCAAAAAAAAAAAAAAAAAAAAAGAGAATCCGGCATCTAGTTAAGCCTCAGTAAATGTTACCTTTTATTTAGATGCTTTCTTTAACTTCTTTAATTAAAAAAAAAAATGTACTTTATTAGATTAAAAGGTACTGAAAACTTCTAAACAATTGCATGAGTAAATGGGGAAACAAACTTAAATCTGTCCTTGAACATATGGTTTCAGTGCTATGCCTTTATACACATTTGTTTAATAATTGAGCCTTAAATCTAAGGATTTTATATTGAGAACGATTAGCAGTGATGATTTACTTGGATCCATAAGCTGAAGGATTATTTTAAAGTGCAGGACACATGACAGTGTGTGAAGCACTGTCAGTAGTATTTCCCATTTGCAAGTCACCTTAGCATAACTGAATTGGAAGGAGATGATTGTTATTTAATGACCCGTCTACGTTCTCAGTATTATATCCATTTTAGTTATAACCATAGTAACTAAGATGAGGGAATATAAATTCATGTTACAGTAAAGAATAAACTGAGAATTTTAAGGGAGTAAGAAGTAAGAGAATGTTTTGATTGCTTGAAAGTATTTACAGCCTGCTGTGTGTATCTTGTGTCATTTATTTGCCGTGTGTAGTGCTGAAAAGTGTCTTTTATGTATAGCTGCCTTGGCTGTCGAAGAGCTTGGCTTTGAGCGATTTCATGCATTAATTCAGTAAGTAACACTGGAACATTTAAAATACTTACCTTGTGCACACATTGCCATTTTAAGTCTGTTCATAATGTGGAAAAGGGCCTTAGATTTACATAAGTGCTTCTCTACTTAAACATGAACTTAAAATATTTAGCTTGATTAATTTGCTTTCAAATTAAAACTTAATTTATATATGTATATTATTCAAAGTCCTAAATTACTATTCAAGTACACTTTTAAAAAACATTAATTGCCTTTTCATCATTAGCAATGAAAAAAATTCATTGTATCCTAATGTTTTTCTGTTCTGAATGAAGGATTCCTAATTTGCCAAAATATGCTTCCTGTAATTTTCAGTAAGAGTGCCCATATTTCACTAGAACATTTAAAGGTTTTATTACAAAATTAAAGGTAAGGCTGCTATACTGATACAATTATAGGTGGCATTTATTTTGAAATTCATCAATTTCTTTTAAAAGAAGCCACAAATGTATACTATAGCTTTAGTAACTCAGATATTTGTTAAAGGGCCTTTCTGCTTTAAAAAGTTGGTTTATATGGTTATTGAACACCTCTTTGAAGAGGGCCACTCTGCTTTTTAAGTAATTGCATCTATAGAAGGTATTGGTACCAGGCATTGCACCTAAGAGAGGCAGGGGCTCCTTGTCGAGTACAGGGACGTCTTATTAAGTAAGTACATGTGTGAGTAGTTGTCAGCAGCAGTTTTAATTTTTTTTAATATATAAGAATTTAAAACTTTTCCAGTTTATGAATGTAATAAGTTTCTCCAGGATACTAATACTTAATTCTTCTCTCCTCCCCTCCCCCTGCCAGAAAAAGATCATTCAGAACTGTATCAGAATTAAAAGATGCTGTCTTGGACCAGTATTCAATGTGGGGAAACAAATTTGGAGTATTGCTTTTTCTCTATTCTGTGTTACTGACTAAGGTTTGTGTAAGAAGATTCACTGTCTTAGCTTAGCACTGTTTTTTCTCTTGTTAGAAATTGTTTCATATCCATTTCTACATCTCAGAATAAGAACCTCTTACTGCTCATAATAAGGAGTTAGCTCCTGTTTCCTCTCCATTCATTCCTTCTTAGCCACTTTAATGCTTCCTTCCCCTCTGCTCTTCTGACTGCACAGCTGATGGATAATATTCTTTGCATGAAATGCTCATTTCTGAATTTTTTTCCCTGTGTCTTAGCGTTGTCTAGCTCTTGACTTTTTAATCCCCTGTAGAAACTTTCTAACCCCTCCTTTTCTTATAATTGACAGATCATTGTGCTAGTTTTCTTCTTATGTGTCACAATGATTTTTTTCTAGCATTTTCTTTAGTAGCTTTGATTCCTTCTGTATGTGTTGCCTCCTGCTCATTGCTTCCCTTGTGAGTTTTAGTATTCTTTAAGAGTCATTCCCTGGGTGCTGGGTGCTGGGTGCTTTTTCTTTCATGGATACTTTACTCTCTCAGCTCACTTCTGTAGACTAACTCCAGTATGCACATCTCTAAGATGCTAATCTCAAATCTGGAACACCCTTCCTGTCTCACTTGGAATATCTACTGGTTATATCTTACTTGAAATCAAGTTTTTTTTTTAATTTGACAAATGCTTATTGATTATTGGCTCTGTGCTAGGTATATGACATATACTTTTTTAAAGTTTTCTGTTTTGCATTGTAAAAAAATGACACAATAATTTCATCCTGGTCATGGTTTTGGGTGTTAGTTTTTATGTTTATTCATTACATGCAGCAAGCATTGTGGGAAAATGGAAGATATGACTGAAGTTTGTTGAGTGGAATCAAGGGTAGACACTGTGTAGTAAGGACCATTTGGTAGATGTAGAGACTTGTTGAATGAGTAAAAGTTTTATATATGGAAAAGTCGTAATAAAATTTATGAGGCAATAAGAGCAGCAAGTCTAAAGACAAAAGCAATTGTAGGCATAACACAGGTTTGGGGAACCAAAAATACTTCAGGGTGCTGCATCATAATATGCCAAGGGCAGTTGTGAAAGGTAAGGCCAGACACGTTTCTATAGAAGCCTCTGTCTATTGTGAGATTTATTTGCTTATTGTAATGTATTTCACAATTGGAACACAATAACATTTTGAATAAGGGAATAACAAAATTTTTTGTAGATAAAGGTACCTAAATTGGAACAAGAATTTGTAATGAAGAGATCTGAAGTTTAGAACACTAGAGTCAGAGAAACTTAAGAAAGCAAGTATTGCAGTAGAAGCCTGAGGCAGGACAGTGGCCTGGAGCAGAAGGCAAGGGGACAGTTAGAAATGTGAATAACAGGAGTCAAGCACATATTTATTTGAGTTGCTACATTTGAGTAACAGAAGGAGTCAAGCGTACTTGGTAGTCGAGTAGATGTTAGGGATGGAGATGGTGACGGGATGATATGTTCATGTTGAACTTAGCTACTCATTACTCTCCCATGTTGTGGTTCAGATTTTTGATGCCTCCTGTACTGCTTGTCCTTTTTAGGTAATAAATTTGCTTTGAAAGTAAAGTTACTAAGAATCATATTTTGTTAATTTCTAATTAAAAACTCATCCTAATTTGTACTTTAATGTTCATATTAACTTAATGAAATCTTGGTTTCTTTAGGGCATTGAAAACATAAAAAATGAAATTGAAGATGCAAGTGAACCTTTGATAGATCCTGTGTATGGGCATGGCAGGTAATGAACTGCAGTCTGTTGTCTCCCTACATGAACCTTAGGCTGTAGGAACTGCCTTAATAAAACATGGCTGAGTCGGGAAACTTTTCTCCTCAGTAGTATTGACCCCGAAAGCCTGTGGGCTTGAGTAGTCCTATGCTAGGTGCCTTGCTTTGGTTTATCCAGCACTTGCTGCATACAGTCAGTGTTAACCTTCAGTTTAGCTTTATATATAACCTGGCATTTATTGTGACAAGTATTTTGTTGACAAGGTGAAGGTATTTTAACAAATACTGCTTTATAGTTCATTTACAGATTTTTTTAAAAAGATTATTAACTGACCTGGACTTAAAAATAAGTATTTTCTTACCTATTTGTACTACTTTGTTGTTTGGGATAAAAAATAAATCTGCATTTAAATCTGGGGCCACCCTTCTCCTCTAGATTTCAATGCTTGCTTTTACCAGAATCCATAGAGTAGTGAAAATGAGTGTCCTACATGTTAAGTCCTTCTTTTCTGGTGTTTTTGCCTTAGTGGTTAAAATTCACCTACCTTCTACGTTAGTCAGGTTCCAGTGAGTGGGTGCACACCAAAGAACATTTGGGAACACAAACTTGACTCATTGGGCCTTATTATATATGACAGAGTACAGGAAATCTGTTGGGGGCAAAAAAGGGGTGCAGATAGGGAGGGAGTCTAAATATGATCAAAACACATTGGATGAAATTGGCAGAAACTCAGTTAAAAATTGGGGAGCTTAAAAAAAAGATTGACTTATCTCTATCAAAGACTATATTATTAATCCATATGCATTGTAAATATGACAATAAATACTAAGATTTTTAAATAGACTCATTTTTCATCCACTTAAATATAACATCTTAAAGTTGTTAAATTTGTGTGATTATGGTAATAAATGCCATTGTGGTGATGCAATTGCATCGATAAGAATGTACTTGCCAAGGCTGGATCGATAGAAAAGAAAGCTGGAAATCTCCTCTAATTTTGTATCCTAATTTAATGTAAAGTCATCACTGGATCCTTTACCATAGGAGTTAACTTGATTTGAAGGACTAGTTATATTTATATTCTAACTGATTTGTAATTTTTGTTGATAGCCAAAGCTTAATTAACCTCCTATTGACTGGGCATGCTGTGTCTAATGTATGGGATGGTGATAGAGAATGCTCAGGAATGAGTAAGTATGTTTTTGCTGTGGCTGTGGTCTATGATTCAGTGAAATGTAATTGATCAATATTCAGCTATTTAATGACACTATATTTCCCATAAGTTAAGGTAAGTGCTTTTTAATAGAATAATCCTGTACAATTTCCAAAACACCATAACATTAAAAGTATAGATCTTCGAAACAGACAATCTTAGGTTCCAAGTTTATGTGAATTCTCAGGCCTTTTGTTTCCTCTAGTATGGTGTTGGGACTGTGGAACTAACTTCTTTAGAAAAATCAATGTATCTTTTAGGAGAGGTAATGTACACATCCTTACCCAAGGCAGTACTCTATTCATTGCTGCAAGTTATAGAAAATTATAAAGTATTGTTTAAATTACATGTTTTTAGAGTCTACTGGGCTTTCTTTTGTTATTTTTTAATACACACAATTTTCTTTAAAACACTGGGCAGTTCACATCATCTGAGACTGTCACTACTTCAAGTCCCTGGTTGCAGTACTTTCTGTATCCTCTGAAAGCTCAACTGAAGCACGCTTTGACTGGAAGATTCAGTTAAGGAGAGCTGATACATAGCTATAAATTAAATTCCCTTCCTTTTATTACTGCTTCAACAATCTAAGTTCACTTGTTTATTCATTCAGCTTTTATTGAATAGCTGCAGTATTCCTGTTACTGAAATGTATGTAGAATAAGGTGAAGCTCCATAACTCCTATTCACAGGCAAATTTGTACTTTTTCTCCCTAATTTGTAGTTTAATGAACCAAAACACAGAATATACTACATTTGACTGAATAGGTTACTTTTTATTCCCATGTGAATGATTCTTAACCTTGAATTTGAATTTTCCTCAAGTTTAAGAAATACGTATAACTAACATTTCGAAAGAATGCAAGCTAAGAAAAAAATTCAGCAAAACGTATAAAACTTCAGAATTTACAAAAACACAATTTTCACTTCCTATTTTAGGTAATATGCACAAAATAATTCCCTGAGTGGTAAGGTTAGACTGAGAACCTGGCTTTGCTAATTTCTGATAAAACCTGAAGTTTAAACAGCAAAATTACTGGTTAAATGAATCCCACAAGTTTGTCTTGTTCTGCTCTCTGTATTGAAACTCATCCAAGTCTTGACTCTCCATGCTGATTTGGAGTGGAAAGCCTGTGCTCTTCCCACCCACCAGAACCTCATTCTCTCTTGAGTAATATGCAGGTTTCTTTGGTTTATCCCTACACACCTTTCTGTCTCCTCCCTGTGGTTTCTGGTCTCCAAGGTATCTACCATAATCTCAGATACTTAGAAAAGGAACTGTGGTGAGGTGTCCCTTTCCACTCGGCCCCTGTCCTTGCTGCTTCCCACCGTTTGCTATGGCTATAACTGTTAGTCTTTTGTTCGTGACTAGGTTATTGTGGTCTGATTCTCTGTGCATTTTGTGGTCTCTCTCACCTTATCCTACTCTAAACACTAGAATTTTCCTGTCCCCCAGCCTCCCCTAGGCTACATAGGCTCTTTTTACCTTGAAGGTCTTATCTGGGGTACAGAATTTCTGAATCAATTACATAAGTTTTGGTTCTTAATATATAGTAATTCAGCCTCTTCTGTTTTCTTACAATATTCCCTTTCAAGACTGTCCTTTAACTGGTTATTTAAAAAGTAAAGCTTAGGGGTCAAAACTAAGCAATGGCTTAGAAAATAAGAGTTATCTTAGACAATAGAATAGGCAAAGTAGATTTCTTGCATTCTCCCCTGCAGTCTTTAGGAACGTTGACTTGTACTTCTATTTCTGTTACTTAAATATAAAATAAAAGTCTATAATTCACTCAACATTTACTATGTATATTTCTGCTCTGACAACATGGTAGCAGATATGCGACATCAAATGAAAAATTGTGCAGTAGTTTTCAGGGCTGGAGAAATGGCTCAGTGATTAAGAGCATTGGCTGCTCTTGGAGAAGACCCACATTCAAATCCCAGCAGCCACATGGCAGCTAACAACCATCTGTAACTCCACTTCCAGGGGATCGGACACTCTCTTCTGTCCTCCATGAGCACTGCACAACACAGATGTACCTCCATACATGCGGGCATAACACTCATACACATAAAATAAATAAATAAATTTTTTAAAAAGAAAAATTAGGGGCTGGAGAGATAGCTCAGCAGTTAAGAACACTGGCTGTTCTTGCAGAAGACCCAGGTTCGAATCTAACACCCACATGGCAGCTAACAACTGTCTGTAACTCCAGTTCCAGGGGATCCAACAGTCTCCACGGGCATTGCACAACATGGGTGCACTTACCTACATGCAGGCAATACACGCATACACATAAAGTAAAAATAATAAAATATTTTAAAAGGAAAAATTATACAGTAGTTTTCAAACACGCAAGTCACTTCTTTTGGCTTCCATTTCCTTGTTTATAAGTCTGCTTTTGTTTTTTCTCTGCCTATTTTCTTAAAAGAACTGTACATCCTGCTAAGTTCACATTCTTGCTCCTGTTGCATACCTAGCATCCCATTGTATATATGCACCACATTTATTCATCAGCTGACGGACATTTGGAATGTCCACTTGACTCTTATGAATAATGCTGTTAGGGAACTGGTGTGCAAGTTTCTGTGAGAGCATGTGTTTTTATTTTTCTTTGCTATGAACCTAGGAGTTCAAATCACTAGCATTAATTCTAAGATTTAACCTTTTGAGGAACATCTGTCAAACTTTGATAAAGAATGCCAATTTCTTTCTAAACTTTGCTCTGCCAACTAATGCAGTATGAACCTATCTATCTATCTGGCTGTGTAGAGTTCCAGTTTCTTTGAATCTGGACTGTCTTTAATATTTGGTCAGTTTTTGACAAGTGATTGCATGTTTTAATGTGCATTTTTTTCTGCTCCTAATAAACCTGAGCTTGATCCTGTATTCTTGTGGAGGTAAACTAGCTGTTCTGCCTTCCTTCTGGGAATTGTCTCTTTTTCATCTTGTGGCATATCAGTGGCAGGGGTTGTATGTCAAAATTTCTGGGATTCAAGTTTTCTTTTAGATGTTTATGTTGCAAATATTTTCCCCAACTTTTTTTCATGTTAATTTTGCTAATGATGTCTTTTGTTCCCAAGATTTTCATTTTTATCATGTTAAATCAATTGATATTTTCTGTCAGGGCTTGGTTTTGGTTTTCACTCCTGTGTCATTCTGTTTTTCTAGTACTCTGTATGAAACTAATATTCTCTAGTGTTTTCTTGAAATGCTTTTGTGGCCCTTTTTTTTTTTTTTTTTTTTTTTTTAACTTCAGCTCTCCAATCCACCTGGATTATTTGTTTGTTACTTGCATAATGTCTTCATTTTGTCCTCATGAATTTAGAGCTGAAGTTTTTGTTGATTTCTGTTTTCCTAAAAGACATTTTTCCCATAATGGCTTTTCTGGCTTAACAGAATGGAATTCATCAGTAGTGTATACTTTACCTTTTATGCATTATACAGCCATCATTCTCATATCTTTAAGTGATGGCTAATGGTAAGGCATGGTTGGTGCTCATTAACTTAGGATACATGGAAAATATGGAAATCTAAAGGAATGTGATCAATTTGAAACTCTGCAATGTGATGTGATTTATAATTAAGAAGCTAGGTAATTACATCTTTGAAAAGTATATGATTTATTGGGATTAATGTAAGCTCAGAAATGTGATTTTCCTCAAATTTTATCACTTACAGCAACACATTTAATAAGTTAGAGCCAGATTGCTAGATAAAACATAGTTCTCCTAGTTGCATGTGAATTTCAGATAAGCAATGAATCACTTTTGAGTGTAAGTATGCATGCATTTATAAATGTGAGTAGTAGAGCACGCTCCATACACTATCTGGAATATAAATGTATGTGTTGTGCTGGTTAGTTTTATTGTCACCTTGGCACAACCCAGAGTCACTTGAGAAGAGGGAGCCTCAGTTGAGGAATTTTTCAGATCGGATTGGCCTGTGACCTGTCTGTGAGGGATTGTCTTGATTGATGATGGATGTAGGAGCCCACTGTGGGCAGCACCATCCATAGGCAGGTGGGCCTGGGCTGTCTAAGAAAATTAGCTGATCACAGCCTGTGAGTGGACCTGTACACAGAGTTCCTTCATGGTTTCTGCTTCACTTCCTGCTTGCGTCCCTGCCCTGTCTCTCACTGAAGGATTTTGTCCTGGAAGTATGTGCCAAAGAAGCCCTCTCCTCCCCTAAGCTGCTGCTTCTCAGAGTTTTTCACAGCAGTAGAAATGCAAACTAGAAGAAGTGGGCATCCTGGGTTTGTTGTTCTGCTTTTGTTAGTCTATCTGATGGCTGCAGTTCAGCTTCTCAGGGATTCAGTCAACAGCCTGCAGGTGCCCCGGCCAGGCAACTGCTGAGTTTAAAGGTAATTTTTTTTTTTTTTTTTGGATAGCATTTTGTTGAAGCATAGTTATTCATTTCTAAACTCTCCATTGTAAGCACCAAATTTAATACCTAAGTGAATTTTGGGGAAAGAACCACCATTAAGACATCATATAAAATATTGCAGGTACATTTCCTGTAAGTGAGATAATTAAGGCTTTTCCAGTACCTTACTGCTTTTTATTTGAATTGTTGTTAATGTCATTAAATTCCCCTTTATTTACTTAAGGTCCCTGTATAATCTCCTCCCAGATTATCTTCCACTCATAAACTTACACCTGAACAAAATTCTACTTGCTTTATTTCTGCTCATTCTTGCTTCTGTGCCTGTTTCCTCATTGCGTCCTTCCTACCTGTACCCCTCTAGTCCCTCAGAGCCACGACATGTATCACCTCTAGTCTCTCACAGCCACTACACATATCACCTCTCTAGTCTCTCACTGCCCACTACATGTATCACCTCTAGTCCCTCAGAGCCCACTACATGTATCACCTCTAGTCCCTCAGAGACCACTACATGTATCACCTCTAGGCCCTCACAGCCACTACACATATCACCTCTCTAGTCTCTCAGAGCCCACTACATGTATCACCTCTAG